CCCCCCCCCCGCGCCCCATCCTTGCTCGTGCCGCCCCGCGTTCTCCTCCTCTCCCCTCGCCACGCGCAAAGTGTAATGGGGGAAGGAGCCGTGCGCCCTGCTTCTGTGCGGGAAGCGCCCCGTCCCCTTGCACCGGCGAGAGGGAAAGCGTGTGGGGCCTTTCAGGAGAGGGCGGACATTCCGGATTCTCACTCTCCGGCGGAAAAAAGCAGGCACTCTCAGGGCGCAGAGACTGTTTTGCACATGCGGGGAGCGCATGGTGTTCCCGCATGTGGGGGCACTCTCTCGACCTCCCCCCCCCCCTCCCCCCCCCCATCTCTTCTCGTGCGCCTGTGTGCGCGCGTCGCCAGAAGAAAAGGAAAGACACAGGGCCCTCAAAACCGTAAAGCATTACCTTCCGTCTGGGGTGTGTACATGCAAACCTGCGGCGCCGGAACTCTTCTCCATTTCTACTTGCTCGCGCGCGCGCACACGGGGGCCCGCTTGTGGGGGCTGACCGCAGCCCTCCCGCCCCCCTCTCCCTCACGCTTTGTGTGGTTAAAGGGGAGGCGTGGGCGTGTGGCGGCGGCGCGAGGCGGGCGTGTGAGGGGGGCCCCCAGGGTCCGGCCTCCCTAAAGGAGGCAGAGCCCCCCCCCCACACCCCTCCCTTGCGCGCCACTACTGCTGCTCGGCCCGCGAGCCCCCCGCGGCTCTGCAGGGGGATGGGCCATGATAAGAGGTCTTTCTCTTGTTCGGGACAGGGTTTTTTTTTTTCCGGGCAGAGACTTGTGTGCGGCACGCGCGCGCGCTCCCCCGGGCCAGTTCTCAGAGCCTTCTCTCTAGAAACCTCCCAAATGCACCATCGGCCGCGCCCCCCCCCCCCGGGGAGTGGGGAGAGCGCTGCTTAAAAAGGCGAAAGTCCCCCCGTTGAGCTGGCTTCCTCCCGTCGGGCGGCTCCCCGGTGGTGAGACAAGGGACGGCCAAAAGAGAAGCATACAAGCACGCGCTGTGTTTTTAGAGAAAGTAAGAGGCGCTGTACGTGACACATCGTCATACTATTATTATATATGCACGGCGGCGGTGCACAGATACAGACGACCACGGGGGGGGGGTATGGCCATGCGCGATCAGCGCGCCGCCCCACCGTGTGGTGGATATGCGGGGTCGGCAAAGACGGCCCGGTCCCATGCAAGAGCAGGTACGCTCTCCCAGTACGTGCGTGTTGTTCCCCCCCCCCCCCTCCACCCCCCGCGAGAGGGACCACCCTTTGAGCCCGGGTTCCCTCGCCCCCCCCCCCCCCCCCCAAGTGGTGTGCGTTTTTGATGTGGCGTGTGTGTGTGCGTGTGTGTGCGTGTGTGTGAGTCTGACCTGCTATCTCATCTCTTGCTACGCGGTGCGAGCGTGTGCCGCGCCCCGGGGGCGCACACGCGCGCGCGCTCTCACCGCGTGAGTGGGCGGGCATGAAGGCGATGCCTCGCCAACCAAGGGGCGGGGACCCCGCCCGGGTGGGGGGGATGGACCTCTCCCTCGGCCGGTCGCGCCTCGCTCTCTCTGCCTATTTTTTAATTCGGCGGATGCCCGGGGAAGAAATACACCCTCTCCCTCTCTCCCTTTCACATGGCTTTGGGGCTGTGTCTCTTTTTATTCATGCGCGATTCGCCACGGGCAGTGTTGCGGGAGCGCGCGGGGGGGGGCATGACGACCGCGCGCGGTGGGGGGTGCCCTTTTATGGTTTTTATTTTCGCGCACCGCCAAGAGGGCGAGCAACGCAGCGCCGCACACCCAGCGGGCGGGGGAGTGCTCGCCCCCATGGCTCAGTGAGTGGAGCGGCGCCTGGTCCGTGCGCGTGTGCGGCCCTGCCCTCCCCTCCGTGCCGCAGCACAGACAGCCAAGGGATGTCCCGGTGGGGGAGGCGTGAGGGGGAGCCTGCATCCCTCCCCCCCCTCCCGCATCTGGGTGTGGCGCGTGCCGTGAAAGTCTGGCCGGGCGCGGTGTCCCCGGGCACACAAGAAAGACCCGACCAAGGGTGGGCGCGGGCGCGGAAGGGGGCGTGCGTGAGGGGCCGGAGGCGTGGTCAGCTTTCCAGGCTGTGGAGGCGCGCAGGATGGACACAGAGTATGCGAGAGTGGGGGGCCCCCCCTGTGCGACGTGGGCACTGGTGTGTGGGCTTTCCGCCGGGAGCGTGCCAGGGTTGATTCTGGCGCGAGGGGGGGCCATATTTGAATAAAGGGCAAGATCTTTTTTTTCTCGCCCCGAGAGAGTCTGTGATTTTTGATGGCCCCCTTGCCGAGGAGAGCCGCGCGGGAAAGGCCCCTCTTTCATGGGGAGACCGCGCAGGGCAATTGCAGCGGGGATGGGCAGGGGGCGGCGACCGGGGTCAGAGGGACGGGGGCCGTTGCGCGCGAAGAGACAATGCACCGGCCCGGGGTGGGGCGCTCTGCCGCAGCCACCCGCGCTCGGCGAGCGCAACAGTCTTTTTTTGCCGCGACACAGTGCATCGGACAGCGGGAGCATGGGGGGCGCCCCGCGAGGGGGATGCCACATTGCGAATTTCCCCATGCCCGATACCGGCATCACCCGCGGGTGGCGGCGGGTCCAAGAGGAGGCAAGACGGGGCTTCCCCCGGGGCCAATCCTGTGTGCATGTGTGTGGTGTGTGTGTGTGTGTGTGCGCGGCGCGGGGGGGGGGACTGCTGGATGCGCATGGGCCAGGGCTGGATGCGCATGGGCCGGGCACTTTCGCCCAACCGGCGGCGGGGCGGATGCCGGGCCCCGCGGAGACATAGCCCACAACTACACGTGACCTGGTCGTCCCGCTTCCCGCGCCAGGCCATTGTGGACTATTTCCCGATGTGTGTCTGAGGACCGGCCGTGTCCGGTCGAGTGTGTGTACGTGCGGGCCGGGGGGGGGGGGGGGGGGGGGGGGGGGGGGGGGGGGGGGGGGGGGGGGGGGGGGGGGGGGGGGGGGGGGGGGGGCTCGCGCGGGCCGGTGGGGGGGGGGGGGGGGCGCCGCGGAGGGGGGCCGGGGGCCGGTGGGTGGGCTTGGTGTGCGGGCGCCCCCCAGCGGCCTGGCCGCGTGTACGGGGGGGGGGGGGAGGTGCCATGTGTACCATCGCCGAGGGGGGGCTTGGTGGCGGGTGGGCGTCCCGCCCTTGCTGTAGCGCGCCGCGCCATCCCGCGATCCATGTGTGCACGAGAGGAGCCAGAAACACTAACACACACAGCATGCGCGCTCGCGGCCAGCCCGTTGGAGCGCGCCTGTATACTGAAGGGCGTGTTTACCGCCGGGGCGGGGGCGCACGCGGGGGCGCGGCGTACATGTGTGCGTGTGTGTATATGTGCCTGCCCACTTGCCCGAAGTTGGCAAGGGTGCAGAGGAGGCGCGTCCCAGTGTCCAGAGAGGCAGGGGGGGGGGGGGAACATACACAGGCCGGGGGTTGCCGGAACAAATGCGTCCCTCCTGTGTCCCGGCGTGGGGATGGGGAGGGGCAGGCACCGGGGGGACGGCCGGGCGGCGACAAGACACACAAGGCCCCACAGAGAGCGCCGCACGCGGTGTACACACACCCGTGTGGGGAGCGGGGGGGGGGGGGGGCGAGACGCGGGGGACTCTTCAGCCGGCGGGGTGCCCGTCCCAGGGGCTGTGCGCGGCCCCTGGATTACCTCCTACTCCCCTCCAACACGACTCTCGAACACATTCCCCCCTTGACCATTCTGTCACATTTGCTCTTTCAGCCCGAAGGTAAAGGTACGCGCGCCCATCCACACCCAATCCACACGCCTACCTCCGCGCTCCGCCTCCTTCATCCTTTCGCCTCGCGGCCGCCCCTCCCGAAACTGAGTGAGGCTCTTCCCAGCCCGCGGGGGGACCGGGCGGGGCTCTCCCGCGTCCAGGGCTCCCTGTGCCCAAAGGCCAGCCGGAGGCCCCCCCGGCGTGTGGACCGCCGGCCTCACACACGCGCGGGCCTCCGTGTCACGCTCGGCATGGGGACAGCGGGGAGGGAGGAGGAAGGAGCCACGGCGCCGGAAGCATGGCAGGTCTTCCCCCCCCCCCCCCCCCCGCCCGGCAGAGCCTGCGTGACGCGAAGCGCTAACACACCCGTGCAAAGATGTCCGGCTTCAGACCCCTTCAGACGATTCGGGACTTTTTCCTCCCCCGGCCGATGGCGCCGATGCGGACCGGCGATGACGAGGCGTCCGGCGCCTCGCCGCCGATCAGCCCCCGCGCCGAGGCGCTGCAATACCAGCAGCCATACCAGCAGCAGCAGCAGCAGCAGCAGCAGCAGCAGGCTTTCATGCAGCAGGTCCCCACCGGCCACGCGTACAATGGCCGGGGGCCCGGGGCCGGCGGCGCGCCGGACAGCGATCCGCACCTGCACGGCCTCCGGCCGAAGACCGTCGAGCACCGCCATGTGCGCGACGCCGTCGAGCCATATGACGGGTACCAGCCGCTGCGTGGCAGCGGCAACAGCAGCGGCAGTGGCCCCTCGAAGCCCATCCCGGCCGCGGGCCCCCCGACGCTGCAGCAGCAGCAGCAGCAGCAGCAGATGAACGACGGCGGGCGCGCGGCCATGGCCGGGTCCCAGGCCGCCGCGGCGGCGGCGGCGGCGGCCGCCGCCCGGCAGCAGCAGAACTACCCCGGGCAGTTCCACGACACCATGGCCGACACGAAGACCATCAACGGGGTGGCCTTCACGGACAAGGACCTGGCCGCCCTGCACCGGGCCATGAAGAAGGACCTGCCGCGGAACCAGCTCAACGACCGCGAGCGCCTGCCCTCGCCGCACGCATTCCAGCCGCCGCAAAGCACCTTCCTGCCCAAGGGCACGGACGTCATGCGCAGCAACAACCAGTTCCTGGGCCAGGCCACGCTGGCGCACCCGAAGCCCCCGCGCCTGCCGGAGTCGCCCTGATGTGAGCCGGCGGGCGGCCGGGCGGGGAGGTGGCGGCCGGTGAAAGGAAGCGCCGCGCACCGGCCGCGCAGGGAACATCGGGGCGGGGGGCGCCTAGCGTGATTGGGCGGCATTTTCCCCGCGCCCGAAGCGCCTCGCGCGCGCGCGCGCGCGTCGCCACCTGTGCGTGTGTGCGTGCGCGCGTCCCCTCATGGCCGGGAGACAGAGAGAAAGAGAGGGGCTCTCTTGGCGGCGCACGGGCGGCGCGGCGGTGCGCCACACCTTCCCCCTGTCCCACACCCCGCTTGCAGCGTGTGTGCGTGCGTGCGTGCGTGCGTGCGTGCGTGCGTGCGTGCGTTCGTGCGTGCGTGCGTGCGTGTGCTTCCAATATACCACAGAAAGCGGGGAACCGAGCGGGGGGGCGGCATGTGTACAGGCCCGGGGGCCCAGGTTGGGAAAGGGCGGTGGGGCGTGGGCCTGCCACACGTCGAGGCCACCTGAGCGGACAGGTGAGGGCGGGGTCCCCCCGAGCACAGGGCGGCGTGCATGGTGCTGTGCATGGGGCATGTTGCGCCGCCTGCCTTATGGCCGTGGGCGAGTGGAGGGGTGTGCCTAGCAGCGCGGCGAGAGAGAGAGAGAGAGAGACGGGGGGGGGGGCAGGGACCGGGAGGGAGATTCTATGTACATGTATTATGGGCCGGGGGGCAGCAAAGGGGCGTCTAGGTGCGGCGGAAGGGGAGGGTAGGGGAGGGGAGGGGGGGGGGGCGGCCGAGGCGCGAAAAAGAGGCGCACGGCGGCGGCGGGCGAGCGGGGTAGCGGCGCACAGTGGGAAGGCCGCGGCTCTCAGGCGGTGGCCTCGGCGGCCTCCTGGGCGGCGGCGGCGGCGGCGTGGACACGCGCGCGCGCGGCCTCCTGGGCCTTGTCCCGGAGCTCCTTCTCCGCGCGCAAGGCCTTGACCCGGGCGATGAGGGCCTGGTGCTCGGCGATCTCGCGCAGGCGGATCTGCTCATCATCGGCCGAGCCATCCAATGCCAGCGGCCCGACATCGGCCTCGCTCGAGCGGTTCATGTGGCTGAGGGCGCGCTCATCTGCAACGGGGCCGGGG